GCACACACACACACACACACACACACACACACACACACACACACACACATACACCAAATGTTTTCAGATTCAACAGGAATTGGAAGAAATTCGCTGCATTGATGACCCCATTCCCTTGGGAGAAGTCTATCATTAGATCCACTTTTGCCGAAGGAACATGTTGGAAAATTTTCTGATGAACAGTGCTTGCAGCCAATCAGCTGCCAGCGCCTTACGGGTATTGTGATAGCAGCTGGCGGGGGAATGTGTTATATTTAAGCCCAAGCGTTGAATGAAGAAAATATAAACTTGTATACCCGGCTTTAGTTGCGTCTCCTAACAACAAGCCTGTAAGTGGTATCTAAGGTGCAGCATTTCATTGTTTAATCTATTGTGCTCATCTGCGCTCCTCTTAATGGCATATTTTATAGAGTAGTACTATGGCTTTACTGCATTACGGCAGTGTGCACTTTGAGAATGTGCTTCCCTCTTTGCTTTTAGGCTTCAAAACAAAAGCACCAATCCAATAATGAATGGGGGGGGGACCCCAAAAACCTGAGTGTAGGCGATCCCAGTTATATGACCCGTCACTAACACTGCTAAATAGGTGTTCTGCATAAGCATTACTTCATCATTTCAAGTCTTGTTCACGTCTCTTTTGTGTATCTGGGAAATAAGTATTAATACATCTGAATAGCTCTGCAAGACTTTAGAAATATCACACATAAAAGTTTTCATAATCAAACATCTCTATATATCTCATCTGCTCTCATTTTTTCCTTGCAGACATGTCTACCATACAGTATCCACCTCTTCCCTGATACCTTCTAAAAACGTTGGTGACCTGAAAATTCATGCAAGTACAGCTCCAGGTTCAGATGCAGTAATCATCCATCCGGGTGCCATGCTTTCAATGCTGGACCTCCTGGCATCTGTTGACTCCGATTCCCAACCAGAAGTATGTAATGTAGAATCTGTAACATACAGTATTGTTTTGTTGCTTCAAATTTATTATTGTCAAGCGGTGTGTGTGTACAAATATGCTAGATTATTGTTATATAGTATAAATTAAAATCATAAGTAAATAACAGAAGCTTTCATTGACCTACTTATGACTGTACTAAAGCAGACCTTTACACTCAAAAAAATCAAATTCTACCAATGTATCCCTCCTAAGTATAATGTTTAACTAACATAGACATGTCAGGTGTAAAATGCTGTTTTTTTTTTAATTAAATACTTGCAGAGCATTCACTTCCTGCTTTGAAGGGCAAAATGACTTCAGTTTGGCAAAGCAATGCACACTGGGATTGCCTTATCAACAGAGCATTGCTGGGAAATCTCATCTGTAATCTCTTGAGATCTCAGGGAAAGGCATGTTCATCCCTGAGATGATGTGCATGGTCACATGTCTAGTCACATGTGCCTGAAATCCAGGAAGGAATAGGAGAACTAGTAGTCTGCCCTTAATAAACATGGCCACTGCCAGAAGAGACATAAGGTATGCAAAGAATACAAAACAAAATGCTGTAAAGTAAGAATGCTTTCAGAAATAAAAGTGTTAATAGTTTATATTTATAAATTACCAAAATGGAAAGTAAATGAACAGAAGAGAAATCCAAATCAAATCAATATTTGGTGTGACCTCCCTCTGCCTTCAAAACAGCATTTTTTGAAGGAACTTGGCAGGTTGTAACAAACATCTTGGAGAACTAACCACAGATCCTCCGTAGATGTCGGCTTCCTCAAATCCTTCTGTCTCTTCATGCTACAGCCGAATATTTCACATTTTGACTCATTAGTCCAGAGCACTTGCTGCCATCTTTCTGCACCCCAGTTCCGTGTTTTAGTACATAGTTTAGTCGCTTAGCCTCAGTCGCACAAGGCCACAGTAAAGGTCGCACTTAGCCTTTAGTCGCACAAGGCCACAGTAAAATGGCAGCATGTGCTCTGGAAAGAGGAGTCAACATTTTAAACATTTGGCTGTTTCAGGAGTCAGTCTGTACGCTAAAGGGCTGCATAGCGGTACAATAATGAGTGCCTGCAGCAACAGTGAAGCATGGTGGAGGTTCCTTGCAAGTCTGGGGCTGCATTTCTGCCAATGGGGTTGGAGATTTGATCAGGATCAATGGTGTCCTCAGTGCTGAGAAATACAAGCAGATACTTATCTATCATGCCATACCATCAGGGAGGCGTGTAATTGGCCCCAAATTTATTCTGCAGCAGGACAATGACCCCAAACATACAGCCAACATCATTAAGAACTATCTTCAGCATAAAGATAAACAAGGAGTCCTGGAAGTGATGGTTTGGCCCCTAAAGAGCCCTGATCTTAACATAATCGAGTCTGTCTGGGATTACACGAAGAGATAGAAGGATATGAGGCAGCCGACATTCACAGAAGATCTGTGGTTAGTACTCCAAGATGTTTGGAACATCCTACCTGCCGAGTTCCTTCAAAAACTGTGTGCAAATCTACCTAGAAGAATTGATGCTGTTTTGAAGGCAAAAGGGTTGTCACACCAAATATTTACTTTGATTTCTCTTCTGTCCATTTTACTTTCAAATTTGTTCATTGATCAAAATAAACTATTAACACTTTTATTTCTGAAAGCATTGTTACGTACAGCATTTGTGCACACCTGCCTAAAACTTTTGTGGTGTGTGTGTGCATTCCTTTTTTTAATCTATTTGAAAAAGAAACCTAAAATATTTTTTTTACATATTATTTAGTTCCTACAACAAATACCATGTTTCCCGAAAATAAGACACTCTCTTATATTTTTTTTTGGCTCAAAAAAACACACTCGGTCCTGTTTTTTTTTTTTTCAATGTACAACAATCCACACTTATTCATGTAGAAAAGTCTACATGTATTCATGCACAAAAACATGGTGTTCGGGGCAATCAGGGGTGCCGTACCTTTCCAAGAGCAATTTGCTAGCCAATCGCTGGCCAGGATGAGCGAAGCGCACTTTCACTATCCATTCCTCACAGGCGGAGTGCATTTGGCATCACTGCCTGTGACAGCAGCCGGCGCTATAGAGGAGGCATCGGCTTATGCAGCTCTGCTCCCTCCGCTGCCGCCTCGCTTCCTCTAGCGCTGGCTTTGTTGGCACCGCTGATTCTCTCCTGCCTCTCCAAGCTCCCCCTTATGCCACCACCGGCCCTGAGAATGGTCACAACTAGGTCTTATTTTCGGGTCGGTCTTATTTTTGAGCAATTCCCAAAAATAGTACTAGGTCTTATTTTCAGGGTAGGTCTTATTTTCAGGGAAACAGGGTAGACTCCCTAATATGTAGCTTTAATTGTGTTTTTCTAACAAAGCCAGTAAATGCCTAAAAGAGAACAAAAGCCAAACTTTATTTTGGGTCACACAAATAAATTTACTAATGTACTCCTGCGACCTAAATTCAACAGTTAACAGGCTACTGCCCGCTATATGCTGACAGCGTGGAGACCGATGCAGTGGAGATGGATCCTGACAATATTGTTGGTATACACCCTGCTCCCTGACAGCTGCCTCTCTTTATGTGGCTGAGGGACAGAGCCAGCTGCGCCTGCCTGCCCCTTCCTTGTCTGCACTGGAGAAGCATTTCTGGCTTCCTCAGGGGTGCCTTGAAATTTCCACACAGCGTTATGCATCTGATGTGTATAAGGGGTACTCTGATGTTAAAGGAGGGGAATTCTGATGTAGAGGGGGACTCTTTTTGAAAGGTGGCATTTTGATTGTGTTCTTGCATGGGGTCCCCCTTTTAAATTCATGCCAGACCCCTATCTGGGATAAGGGCCTGGTGTGTATTTTGGGGGACTCCACATCATTTTTTACATTCATGTTTTTTGCATTTTAGACTGGGGCGCCTCAAGATTTTGTTTACTTTGAAGGGTACTGTTTCTGCTTTGGAGAAGCACTGATGGGAAGGGGGAATCCCTGCAGGACATTTATTGCTGTCCGTTGAGAGCTGACTGCTCAGTGGTCATGTGATTAGACACCTCTCGGTCTTAGGACAGCTACAGTGTCCTATGCCAGCTCTAAGTATTGGGGAAAGGATGTTTTACTCTCTCTATACTTCTTCTCTTTTAAGTTGTGTTGTACCAAGTACAAAGCTAGAATAGATGCCATATTAAAGCATGACTCGTGTGAAATCTCACTTACATTGCAAACTGTAGAGATGTGTGAAAGCAATTTATCAAAAGTATCTTGATTTGCATATATTTGTTTTTCATTTCAGTGTTTTTCTTGCAATGAAACAGGAGGGTTAGGCTCGCCTATCGTTTAAATAGTTTAATCCATGTTTTGTTTTGTTTTTCCCGCCATAAAAAAACATTGGTGAGGTGACAACTTGTATTGGTCTTATTGCTTCTCACTGGTGTCGGCTTAACAATGATCCTTCACTGGTCAGTGAATTTACAGTAAAGCTGGCCATCCATGCATCAAATGTTATCTGTTTCCTGCTAAATCAGCTGGAATTCAATCCATGAGTGTCTCTGCTGGCACCACGAGTTTTTGTCATGGGCCATGTGGCTGAACAGTGAATGCAGGGAAGCTGATGAAGTCACTGTTCAGGTGTCCTGACAGCTGCAGCCCTGGCTGTTTAGAATACAATAGCAAGCAGGGGAAATTCCTTCATGCACGCTCTTTAGCTTTGATGGGGGAATCAATTTCCAGCCATATATCCTTTTTACAAAGAATAGCATAAATACTGGAAACATTTTACTGCTACTTATAATGTACAGTCAAATGATCCGCTTTTATATTAACTGAAGCTGAAAGTACAGTAAGCATCCAGTGTCTCATTGATTTCTGTTTTACATTTGTCTCTACAGCATGCCTTGGATCTTCAATTGGCCGTTGCAAACATCTTACAATCATTAGTACACACAGAGAGAAATCAGCAGGTTATGTGTGAGGGTGGACTCCATGCACGTTTGTTGCATAGATGCAGTGCTGCCCTAGCCGATGAAGACCATGCATTGCACCCTCCACTCCAACGCATGTTTGAGAGGCTGGCATCTCAAGCATTAGAGCCAATGGTACTAAGGTAAGTAGTTCAGTTAAGTAAATGGATTTAACATTTTTGAAATGATTTTCTCTCTCCGTTTCCCAGACTACCCAATAGAATTGACCTGGTGGGGCTATGTCTCAGTACCTCCCCTTGGTGTCCTTGCTTGCATTTGTGTAGGTCCTTTCAATTGTTATCCTCACTATTGTCAATCTGACAGGTTGTAGAGCCATAAGATACAGTGGTGGAATTAAGGAACAAAGGGCCCTGGTGCAAGATTCCCCCCCCCCCCAAAAAAAAAACACAAACTCCCCAATCCACACCCCCTAAAACAACCACAAAAAAATTAAGTTGAAAAAATAGATCGAAAAAATATTTTAGCATATTTATTTATTACAGAGAAAGGAAAGAGTATGTTTACTATAACCACAATTATGAAGGAATAGGAGGTGATGTAGATCACTCCCATTCATTCATAACTGATGATATAGTACACATACCATGTTCTCAATTATTTACAAACACTCACTGATCGCTGAGTGTTTGTACCTTGCCCTCCTCTCTGACACGCTGTCACAGGAGGCTGAGTGAGCGGTGCAGGGAGGAGAGCTCAGCCTCCTGTGACAGTGCGGGCTGTCTCCGCCCACACACCACTCTTCCAGTGTTCCATCACAGATTGTGACTGCGTTGGAATGTGTGACCGGTCACATGGTCACACATTCTAACGTAGCCACACTCATTTTTCCCGGGGTAAAAATGTGTAACCGGCAAAGGGTGTGGAATTCAAAGCTTTCTCCCGCTTTTCCCAGGCTGATCGGCATTGCAGATGGTATGTTTAGGAGAAGTAATCTGCTATGGAACAGCTGATCAGCCCTGGAATCTCACTTCTATCTGCGAGTGCAATACAGAGTCGGATAGAAGTGAGATTTCAGGACCGATCAGCTGTTCCAGGAACAGCAGAGAAAGCTTTGAATTCTACACCTTTTGCTGGTCACACATTGTTACCCCGGAAAAAAATGGGTGTGGCTACGTTAGAATGTGTGACCACGTGACTGGTCACACATTCTACCGCCAAAAAAATGATCACATTAGAAAGTGTGATGACATCAGCGGTCACACATTCTAACGCAGTCACAATCTGCGATAGAACACCGGACTGTGATAGGAGGCTGAGTGTTGTGGGATGAGAGACGCTGGCTGCTCACATCGCTCTCCTCCTGCAGCGCTCAGTCGTCTGCGACACTTTCTCTCCTCCCCGCTGGGACACAGAGCAGCGCCCAGCGGGAAGGAAAGAAAGCAGGGATGCACCGCTGTATCAGCCAAAAAATGGCACTTTAGGCATTTAGCCAAAAGTGCAATTTTCGGCTGATGTTTCGGCGGCCGATTATATTGGTGCGTCCCTAATAGTTACAGCAATGCAGAATGGTACCGGCTATAGAGGACTACACATCCCAGCAATACTTTATATAATTATAGCATTTCTGTATAAAGTACTGCTGAGATTTGTATTCCTCTATAGAGGTTCCCATCCTGCTTTGCTGCAATGCAGAATGGCACCTGCTATAGAGCACTACAAATACCAGCTGTACTTTACACAACATCAGGCTACAAATAATATATTTTTAATTAATATTTACCCTTACCTCTTCTGGCTGGTCTTCTGCTGTTTCCTGGGGGGGGGGACTCAGGCTGCAGAAAAACCCAGTGTCTGTGTCCTGCTTGCTGGGTCCTCACAGCCGTCCAAGGCCCCGTAGCTTCCCCATCATGTGCCTGCACCCTGCAGGGCCGTCTTCACATCTCCTTGGCTCGCTGCTCCCTCCTCACAGGGGCCGGCGGGCCCCATAATATCTGGGTATCTGGCAAGCGGGCGTGCACCTAGCCCCCGCCCCCCCCAATTCAGCGCACCGGAGTGTGGGATATTAAGATCAGTATCCGGCGGCCGACGGGCCCCCATCTCTGCACCGGCAGTGTTAAATGAACCATCTATGCACAGGAAAAAAAAAAACACAAACTCCCCAATCCACACCCCCTAAAACAACCACAAAAAAATTAAGTTGAAAAAATAGATCGAAAAAATATTTTAGCATATTTATTTATTACAGAGAAAGGAAAGAGTATGTTTACTATAACCACAATTATGAAGGAATAGGAGGTGATGTAGATCACTCCCATTCATTCATAACTGATGATATAGTACACATACCATGTTCTCAATTATTTACAAACACTCACTGATCGCTGAGTGTTTGTACCTTGCCCTCCTCTCTGACACGCTGTCACAGGAGGCTGAGTGAGCGGTGCAGGGAGGAGAGCTCAGCCTCCTGTGACAGTGCGGGCTGTCTCCGCCCACACACCACTCTTCCAGTGTTCCATCACAGATTGTGACTGCGTTGGAATGTGTGACCGGTCACATGGTCACACATTCTAACGTAGCCACACTCATTTTTCCCGGGGTAAAAATGTGTAACCGGCAAAGGGTGTGGAATTCAAAGCTTTCTCCCGCTTTTCCCAGGCTGATCGGCATTGCAGATGGTATGTTTAGGAGAAGTAATCTGCTATGGAACAGCAGAGCAGCCTTTGAATTTTACTTACTGCGAGTGCAATACAGAGTCGGATAGAAGTGAGATTTCAGGACCGATCAGCTGTTCCAGGAACAGCAGAGAAAGCTTTGAATTCTACACCTTTTGCTGGTCACACATTGTTACCCCGGAAAAAAATGGGTGTGGCTACGTTAGAATGTGTGACCACGTGACTGGTCACACATTCTACCGCCAAAAAAATGATCACATTAGAAAGTGTGATGACGTCAGCGGTCACACATTCTAACGCAGTCACAATCTGCGATAGAACACCGGACTGTGATAGGAGGCTGAGTGTTGTGGGATGAGAGACGCTGGCTGCTCACATCGCTCTCCTCCTGCAGCGCTCAGTCGTCTGCGACACTTTCTCTCCTCCCCGCTGGGACACAGAGCAGCGCCCAGCGGGAAGGAAAGAAAGCAGGGATGCACCGCTGTATCAGCCAAAAAATGGCACTTTAGGCATTTAGCCAAAAGTGCAATTTTCGGCTGATGTTTCGGCGGCCGATTATATTGGTGCGTCCCTAATATTTACAGCAATGCAGAATGGTACCGGCTATAGAGGACTACACATCCCAGCAATACTTTATATAATTATAGCATTTCTGTATAAAGTACTGCTGAGATTTGTATTCCTCTATAGAGGTTCCCATCCTGCTTTGCTGCAATGCAGAATGGCACCTGCTATAGAGCACTACAAATACCAGCTGTACTTTACACAACATCAGGCTACAAATAATATATTTTTAATTAATATTTACCCTTACCTCTTCTGGCTGGTCTTCTGCTGTTTCCTGGGGGGGGGGACTCAGGCTGCAGAAAAACCCAGTGTCTGTGTCCTGCTTGCTGGGTCCTCACAGCCGTCCAAGGCCCCGTAGCTTCCCCATCATGTGCCTGCACCCTGCAGGGCCGTCTTCACATCTCCTTGGCTCGCTGCTCCCTCCTCACAGGGGCCGGCGGGCCCCATAATATCTGGGTATCTGGCAAGCGGGCGTGCACCTAGCCCCCGCCCCCCCCAATTCAGCGCACCGGAGTGTGGGATATTAAGATCAGTATCCGGCGGCCGACGGGCCCCCATCTCTGCACCGGCAGTGTTAAATGAACCATCTATGCACAGGCCAGGACTGTGCTGGGCCCCCCCAAGCTGAGGCCCCGGTGCGTCCGCACCGGCGGTAGGTCCGCCACTGATAAGATACCCAAAAACATTAAGGCTTGTCAGCTGGGTGAGGATGCAATCGTTATGTCTGGGTACCTTTTGGATTAGAGAACAGACCCCTAGCTGATCACTTTTTGAGGAAAGAGTTATATAAGTGTATACAATATAAACCGCTATGCCCATGCAGCAATCAATGTTGCTCTAATACAGGGGTAGGGAATATTGGCCCTCCAGCTGTGGTGAAACTAGAAATACCATCATGCCTGTGCCTCTGGGAATCCAGCATGAGTATTGTAGTGCCTAATGGGTTTTTTAGTTGCACAACAGCTGGAGGGCCGAGGTTGCCTACGTCTGCTCTAATACATGTGCCTATATCATTATTACTGAATGATGGGGGTTTATTTATTTATTTTTTCCAGAGAATTTCTACGTCTTGGAAACCCCTTGAACTGTGCAGCTTGGGACAAGCGGTTATTGAAACAGTACAGAGTACACAAGCCTAGTTCTCTCAGCTATGAACCAGAAATGAGAAGTAAGGCGGTTTAATGAAAATATCTGTCTTAAAAGGTCACTCCACTAACAACTGATATTTTAGCTATAGGTCTACTGGGCGCAGTCACCCCCTGCTCTTTATGCATAGTTGATTCTACAACATTGATTGCATTGGTTGCCAACCCAACTTGGGAGCAAAAAGTAGTGGCGTGGTAGTGGTGGGACCTAGCCCTATTCACACCCATTCATTTTTCAGTGCTCTTCTATTAGCATCCGTTGAAAAATGTATCGCAAGGCAACGGACTGCAATGCAATGGATCTGGTGTGAATGGGCCCTTAGTGTTTTCGCCATAGCACAAAATAAATACCAAATCTAACAGGGACACTGAGCGCAGTCATATTTACCTGGTATAGTCTGCACAGCAGAGCTCAGACTGGGAGAGGAAAAAGCAGCCCAAATAGCCAATCAGTAATTCTGCCATGCAAGGGGACGCTGATAGAACGAGAGAGCAGAGAGACAAGCTCATCAGTCTGCTGCTTCTTTCACTGTCCAGTCACAGGCTGGTGGAAAGAAAAGACTTTTAAGTGTTAACTACAGACAGACAAAAAATAGGTGCCCTTCCCTGCCAGACAGGGCTGTGTGGCAGTGCTGTGTAAATATCACATCTAGGTAGACAGAAATACAAATCCTTTAGCAGGTAAACCGGCTCCCTTATATGTTTAGGAATATAACATGGGTGCAAAAATGGAAAAAAGGGCCTCAGTCATGAAGGGGTTAAGTATTTAGCTTTTGCCTGGAGTACAACTTTCAAGAACCTCTTTGTTAATGCTGACAGTATGACATTTATAGTTCAACTCCAAAATGGAGTATAATGATACATTCCAATGAGTAAAAGCTACACTCATGTGAAATATCTGACTTGCACAAGGCTTACCTAAATTCTGTTTCTGAAGTTTCGGTAGGACTTGTAAAGATCTGACAGGTTAGAAAACCTTGTTCAGCAACTATTGCCCTCCCCCCTTTAAACCAGCACCAGTGGTGTTTGCAGCACATCTCCCCTGCCTCTCCTAGTAGGCCTAAACATGAAAGGCCTTCCCAATTTGCCTTCTTGTTGACCAAGTCCAAAAGTGTCCATGAAGAGGTTAGGGTGGCAGAGCAAAAATGCATGGTCTGGTCGTTATTTGCATAATAAGAGTGGCTCGTATTTGTGGGGCGCAGTGGTAAAGTAACAAACTTGTGCAGGCCCCCTGGAGGTATGTGCTATATCAGGGGTCAGCAACGTTTTACACACCAAGTGCCATTTTTGAAACCATCAAACAACCGGGTGCCAGTGAAATTTTTTTATTTTTGCACTCATCGTTGTACTGCTAATAGAAAGTTAAACTCAATAATTATTTGAATGTGTTTACCTTCCCATGAGCAGCACAACTATAAGTGAAAAAAATTGAATAACTGGTGCACACACAAAACATGTTCATATTTACGTGTGCTGAAAAGTAAACTGGACTTAGTTTTAGTGTGATCACTGTGCCTGTATTTCACAGCTCAATTGTGCTATGTCTGGCCTGTAGGATGCTGCTTTCAGCTGACCTCAGACCAGCACCAACACATGTCAGACCTCAGATCCAGGAGCAAACAGGTGGCAGACCTCAGAGCAGCATCAAATGTACGGCAGACCTCAGACCAGCACCAACACAGGGCAGACCTCAGATCCAGGAGCAAACAGGTGGCAGACCTCAGAGCAGCATCAATGCACGACAGACCTCAAACCAGCATCAAACGCACGGCAGACCTCAGATCAGCAGCAAACGCATGGCAGACTTCAGAGCAGGACCAACGCACTGCAGAGCTCAGACCAGCACTAATGCATGACAGACCTCAAAACCAGCACCAAAGCATGTCAGACTGCAGACCAGCAGCAAACACATGGCAGACTTCATACCAGCAACAGTGCACAGCAGACCTCAGACCAGCAGCAAACACATGACAGACCACCACCAATTTACACCCTTCAGTCTGCAAATCAGCCACAAAAACTGTATGATAAGTTTGCAATGTCTCATGCTTGAAAAAAATGTATTTTAGAAGCCGTCTTCCTTACCTACATGGACCAGGGCATATTAGGCATACACGCAGACCCATACAAGTGCACAGCAGTATTATTAGCCACAAATAGCACTGATTTTATTCCCGTCCTACATATTAGGGCAGGAATAAAATCAAAGCTATTTGTTTATCAATATACTGCTGTGCATTTGTGAGGGCCTGCATGTGTGCAGGTACAAGGGCTAATGTTTGTGTATGTGAACAGTATAAATGTGATACCTGCTCTAGATTCCAGGTGATCGTCTGGCTCCTTTTTCTTTTCTGTGCTCGGACAGAATGCTGTTGAAAATCTCCCGTCGGGCAGGGTGTGCATTAAAATCCTCCTGTCGGGCAGGGTACAGTAATCCTCCCATCAGACGTGGGTGAGCCCGCTCCTGTCTGGCGGGCTGGCACAAGAGGGATCCTTCAGGCAGGAGCTTGAGCCCTCGTCAGGGAGGTGGGTGGGCCAGTAATGTAATTGACAGCCGGCTCAAGGGAGCTGTCAGCTACAAGCAATAAGGTCGCGTGCCAGCTGTCAAGGTCTCGCGTGCCAAGGGTTGCCGACCCCTGTGCTTTATCACCCTGCATCCAGTTTAGTACTGTGGAACAGCCCACAGGTACGTTGTATAGTAGGTTTATATGCACCATCCTTTTAATGCATGATGCTTTGTGTTGTAAAGATGTTATGCGACTACAGAATGTTCACTTTAAAGGGTCTCCCTTGAGGACAGCGTGCCCTTGTCCTTGTAGGATTTAGCTACATAAATCTAGGAGTGTATATATGAGGTACTTGCCCTTTTTATGGCTAGATTGTGTTCCAGTGAGTATGCAGCTTATGTTTTTTCAGAAGTATGAATGACCAGGGACATATTACATGACTACCCATGGTAGCGTTCATCTGCCATTGGTTGCTATAATTTGTCAAATATTTCTGCTTTTTCTTGTAGATGTTTTAATCGAGATCTCCTTGTGTTTTTCCTTCCTCCCCCGCTTTAAATTGCATATTTTCTTTTCATCTTCCAAAGTTTGAACAACTGTCGGGTCAGCCCATCTGTTCCAAAATTACAGTTTAGTTTAGATAAAATGGAAATACAATCTGTGCGAGTATTTGCACTCCGACTCTTCCCACATGCACACACGCAGCCCACTTCTCCTACATGCTCCATGCATGACATATTGGTGACGTTCGCATTAGAGGATACATCCTGTGTCTTTCCATTCAGCATAGCTCAGATGACGCTATAATGCGGCTGACTCAAACATTTCCTTTAGGTTTGCTGAACCTGACTAATTCAAAGTGTAATTGACATTTTCAAGGTATCAAAATTCCTTTCTACTGCCAAATAAAATACATTTTCAAAATGTTAATTTATTTTTTTTCGTCTGATTTCACATCTACTGTCTGTAGTCAGTAAATGAGAAAACCGTTTTACTTGCAATTCATACAAAATGATTCTACTAAATGTATTAATTGTTCAGTTAGGATTATTTTGGTACAATGAAGATACCAACATGTTCAAATAGAAAACGAAAAAGCAACATCTCCATAGCTACACTAACACTACAGCATATTAATGACTTGAATAATAATCTGAAAGCGGTGGTTTTAATTAATTGATTGTATCATAAAATATTTGCCAAATACTATCCTGTTTGTACTGGGCCTTCATGGTTCCAGGAAAATTTAAAGTGGTTGTCTGTGTATTATCTATTTTTTATTATGGTCAGGATTAGACCATAACATTTCAAAAATACATATTTTTGTCAGGTAAATATGAAATATTGCATAGGAATATTTTGTACTCTAATTTTCAGCCAACAGATGGAGGCCTTGGCACCTATCCCAGCCTGGCCTTACCATTTTTTCTTCAGCAAAGTGGATTTAGCCCTCCACAACAGCTGGAGGGCCAAAGGTTGCTCACACCTGCTTTTAAGGCTGGTCACATGACCCAATGGTGAAGCATTGTCCCATTGATCTCTACAGAAGGTGGGGATTAAGGTCATCATTGGCTCTGTGTGCATTGTAACCCCCTTACTTTCACTTGTGGTCACATGAGTAATACTTTGGCATTTGATTATGTAACTTCCAATAAGAAACCCCAAAGTTGTGGTAAAAGCAGCCAAGGTAACATGGCAACTTCCGTTTCCAGAAGGACCTGCAATTTCTTTTCACTCCAGGCAGCAAATTTGAGTGAAAAGTGAGTGTGCAGCTGGGAAGGACATTAGTTAAATGCACTGCAAGGGCAAAGCACAGGTTCACGTTAAGGTAGCAGGTTGACTGTGCTCATCCTGCTACCTTAATGTGAACCTGTGCTTTGTGGAGGTCTAATTTTGATTAAAGGTATAAAGGCAACGTTACATTTTGTACAATAGCTGCAAGAATGAGCACAGTCATTTTCAGGAGTCTTGATTTTGAAGGTTTGGTTTTCAAGCTGATGAAGCTGGTTATTTCCTGCAATATATATTTTTATAGACTTCAACTGTCACTTAAAAGACTGTAGTAAACAATCCAGTGTGTTTTATTGACTAATACATTTAAGATGCAAGTTTCATAACAGAGTAAAGTGAGTGAAGAGGTTAGTAGCTTCATTTTAGGTGTGGTGCTTAGTGGTGCCTCCATGAGGAGCTGTGAGCTATAACTCCAGATGCAGAAGAGGTTGGGTGGGGGATTTGGAGGTGTGAGCTGCTGGGCCGGAGATTACAGTGCCTGTGTAAACCTCAGTAGAAGTAAGACAATAGGAGAGTAGTGTGAGCTGACAATCGGAATTTAGAAGGCCTTGTTTCATTGCAACAGACTCACCTCCTTTGGGGATCATTCTGGAGATACTTCTGCCAGAATATGGCTGGGAGCTGATTGCTAGTATGTGCAAGGATAGCTGAAGGTTAGAAGAGATTAGCAGCATTATCACTAAATGCAAACTACCTTTCCATGGGGTTCTACTTCACACACACACACACACACACACTCTCACACACACACACTCTCACACAAACACACACACACACACACTCTCTCACACACACACTCTCTCACACACACACGGAGCAGAAACACTAGACACATAGAATGCCAATGGACTAGGTGCCAGAACTGTACGAGTATACAAATTTGGGTTAGTTCAGCACAGCGGGAGGGGGAAGTTGGTGAGAAAATATATTTAAAAAAATGCTGTTTGTAAGTCTCCTTATTTAAATTAAAATGATTCATAAAGCAGTTATATACATGTTTTTTTTCCAATATATTTCATGACAATTTATCCCTGCACCGTAATACACCTCACAGATTCCATGTGTTACAGCTGCGGTAAAGGCCACATTACCACAATGCATAGGTCTAAAGGAAGCCCAAATGCTAACAATGCTTTCATAAACCTTTATCCTAGTGATTTACCCCCCTCCCCTTGATAACTAAACCCCCTTGCAGCTTAGTGGGCCATGTGGTCCAGGAGCATACACTAAAACGGGTGGTAGCGCTTAATTAGAGCATGCTTACAAGTAGTTGACATTTGCAAGCAGGCCTATAAAGAACCCAGTACCCCTGGGACGCTGCACCCTGACACTGCATCTCCTGGTTACCCAGCACCCCTACCACTGCACTCTTGGCCCTAAACCTCCATGCCTCCAACACCCCAGACACTGCAGCTTTTAGCCACTCAGCAACTCGCCAGTGCACAGTCCACCACTGCATCCTCTGTCCATGCTCCCCCTTGTCACCTTTGCAGGGACATGCAGTAAGGAGGTGAGGCTCAGCCTGAAGTTTTTGAGCTGTCTGCCCACTTCTTCCTCCCTCTGGTGACATCACCTCCTCCCCTGTGTAGCCTGTAGAAGGCAGTCAGTCCTCTGGGGGCACTGTGTACATTGTAAGGGGGGAAAAAAGTGCACTTTTCTAGGCTAAGAGGAAGAGGGAACTCCATCTTACAATAAGTAACTTTTTGGAGGGAGGCATTGGAATGATATTGGCTTTAAGGCCCCAGTCACACCTAGGCGTATTGTAATATGTGCGTCTGTCGCGGTAAAAAAGTCGCGCAACCCCAAAGGCTACTTGGCTGTATCCCAATGGAAAACGCCCTACAAAACGGCCCACAGTAGTCCCGGGACCTTTTCAGGCGTGGGCCGTTTTGTAGGGCGTTAGGGACGGGCGGAAATACGGCAAGGTGGGAACGAGGGCATTGACTACAATGCAATTTATATTTTTGACCGTTTTGTAGAGCGTTCGTCGAGCGTAGAACGCCCTACAAAACGGTCAGGTGTGAACGAGGGCTAAGTGTTCTTTTAGCTTTGACAAAATGTTTTTGTTTTTTTTTGGCTGTTACTCAGGTAGCATGATCATGTCAACAGAGGGTCTTGGCTCTGACAGCGTGTTTTGCGTGGGAGAAGATAAACACTACCGGATAAGCCGAAGCTTGGTAAAATCAGCAGAAGGCAGCACAGTGCCACTGACGAGAGTAAAGTGCCTGGTTTCTATGACAACACCGCATGACATTAGACTTCATGGATCATCAGTCACTCCTGCCTTTGTGGAATTTGACACTTCTCTAGAAGGCTTTGGGTAATTTTTTGAAGTTACAGTAAATATTTGAATGATTAAAAGGTATGATAACAGTCCCTGAGCAAGAACTTTGGATATTAATGTAGAGATGAATATATTAGAGTTGGCATACACTGTGGTGTCTCAAACTTGGTGGTAATTCTTATGTAGAAACCAGTTACCTCTTTTGTCAATTTTAGGATACAGCTGTATGCATCTTTATTGGTATCTCAGAAAACCTGCTCTTAGGCCCAGCCATGCTTGTGCATTGTAAAAATGCTTTTGTGTTTCCATCAACATTAAACTTCTTATGTATTTTACATGTGTTTTCATGCATTGTAGTGCACTTTTAGGCAACATTTGATGTGAGTTTTTAGCCTTTGTTTTAGTACACAGGAATTTTATGACGTAGGCATAAAACGGTTGCAAAAATTCAACAACAATGTAAACCTTGCAACGAAACAAAAATGCAACTGGCCCTTTAAAGAGTATGCATAGCCAAAACTCTATTTTAGTTTTGGATAGAGTAGAGAAATCCCCTGTCATTTTTTTTTCTTTTCCTGTCTTGGAGGCACAACACAAACTGATTGGAAATCTCTCTAAGGTAAGCAGATATCCATTTTTAGACAGGTGTCCCCATTGGAAGATTTACCTTCACCCTCCTTTTCTGGTCAAAATTGTGGATTCCCCCTTGCTTTCTGTCTGACTGACAAAGGTCAGGGCACGTCGAAAGGTCTGTGACGCTTACTCCCATTTTGGCTACCATTAATCCAACCTAGGGTTGCTTTGGGGAATAGAATTGAGGTGTTCCTCTCGGTAAATGAGCTTTCAGCTGCATGGAATGTTGTATGGGACTCATTGATGGCCTATCTGAGAGATCTATTAATTAAGCACATTTGTTAAATTTAAGCTGGTACCGGGAGGGCAATTGAGGATATTCAGCAACGAATCTCACAGGCCAAGGCTGCTTATGTTTCTGCCACTTCCCCCATGATCCAGTTAGAGTGGCTAATGGCACAGCACTCTCTAGGTACTTATTCCCTATAAAAAGCCTGCAACAAGCAATTGTTTCAGAAAAGAGTGTTCTGGCCGTAAGGAGAGCAAACATGCAAGCTACTAGCACATATTGCTTACTTACAGTAAGACAAGACTTAGGTTGGTGCCATTAGAGACCTATTGGGTCAGCTCCAGACTACCTCTAGTGCTAAATTAGATGTTTTTTTTCCCCATTTCTCTCAGACCCTGTACAAGTTTAAAGACCGTCATCTTACACTTCTTCCAACTTCTATATACCATTCCATTGCCAAGCTTACTGATGGATTGACAGATTGCCCTGAACTCCCCTCTTACGATTCCACTAGAGGTTGCCATAATGAGTTTTCCCAATTATAAATCCCCCAGGGCCAACAATATACCTATTGGGGTTTTTAACCAATATAAATCTGCCCACCTTCCAAGACAAGTCACCAGGGCAAAGATAGGGTGAACCTTACCAGCAAGGACATAGGCAGCAATACAAATCAGACAGAGGTTTTAATGCTTCACTACTTTACCCAAGACTTGGGAGTACAATTTTGTCCATACAAACACTTAAAAATTTTAATATACTGCACATGCTTAATTTTCGGTTAAATTATGTTCTTCATGTTTCTAGTATACTTTACTGAATTACAGCCTTCTGTATTTAGGAAGGGCTGTGACTGCTCCACCTCTTAGGTTAAATACTATGATTCAAAGATCTTTTAGCAATTGTAGTGTTTACAAATTTCTGACCACCACCTGCTTTGAAAGTAGCGCTTAAAGAGACCTTTGAGCTGAGCAAACACTCTACAACAGATTGACAGTATTTAAAAACCTTGTTTATCAGTGTGTTGTCTGAGTCTGTGTTGCACCCAATATTTATGATCCTTGACTTCTCCTTGTGTAGTGTAACACTCTAATTTGAATAATCTGACTATTATTGACAAGATATATTATATAGGAAAGTTCTTCTCTTAAAGATCTTCAATTCGATCAAGCTATGTGCAATGTAGAAAATGAGTTAGCATGTCACGGCTCTAATTTTATTTGAGAGTAGTAAGGGTAACAGTGAACCGAAAGTCCTATATTTGTGACTTTTGGTTTGCTTCAACATCTACAGTCTTGCTAGATAAAAAATAATAGAATAGTACTTAGGTCACCATTATAAGGAACCTTTTGCATCAGGGTGCTGTGGAAATGTGCCTTGTGGTTTCATTTATTGTGAATGGCAACCCAACTCACCGTCCCAATGCACCTATGTTGCAGTGCACTACAACATGTGGTAATTTACTACTGTGCATTATTGTGCTGTGCTGACTAGACTTGCTACAGGTCCGATTTTCTGGTCTGCCGGTGTGTGCTCACACCCAATTCACACAGTATAACACATGTTAATGTACACCGCAGAAGACCGCCCTGGTGTAAATGGTCTCTAAGTAATGTGTTCCTAAAAATGTGCTGCATTAGATCCTTACTGACTTCAATGAGCCCCCCACCCATGAAGAAAAATATAGTCTTGCATCCCTTTTCCTGTTATAGCAGTTGTCCATTGTGCCTGAATATAATTGTGCAGTCCAATAGGCACCAGTTAAGCCACACCCTTTACCACATCTCCAATGTTGTCACATGGTCCAGCTATCTCAAATTTGCAAAGCATTATCACCTAGATGTCCAGTCTAGCCAGAAAAAAAGTTATTTAAGCTGCTACACAATCCTGGTTAATTATCTGTTACTTCTCCAGGTGTTCTGTTATGACCAAGTGCAAAATGTGAAATATCTTTAACATAAATGCCATTTCTGCAGAAATGCAAAAGTACCCCCCCTTCTTGGTTGTAAATAAATCTTTCATTGCATGTTCTAGGAATTGCTTTTGGCAGTCACTTGAGAATAGGCCAGGAGCAGGGTAGGGAATTTAAATGCTAGATGCATCCTTCCCACCCAGGTGGTGTTGTCATGGGACTTTGTAAAATGGCATTTATGGTAAGAATAAGCTGCACCTTACTGGGCAGCAGGCTGCTGTTGGCTTCCTTCAGTGTTGCTATATGTATGAAGGCTTTTGCATTTGGCTGCCTGATCCCTGTCGAAGAGGAGGACCAGTCAATCTAAACTCAGACCACCTACCCCCCCCTTCATCAGAAATGTCAAAACTCTAAGGCGATAGGCCTTCAGGCATAGGGCCAGGCTTGGAGATTTACTAGGAGCAGCATTTTCAACAAGAAAGGTAAGTATTTGAATTCTTTTTTCGGCCTTATTTAGAAAGACCAGAAAGCATTAAGTTGACCTTTTAAAGAGACTCTGTCACTAGGTGAAACGTGTAGCAGAACAAGACCTGTAAAAGAAGCTTTATGTTACCGCAGCTCCCTGCCTGTTCTGATGCACTCTCTTCCAGAACAATGGCCTTTTGACATTCAACACACTTCCAGGTGTGTCGAATGCATGATCCATTCCACTAGCCCGTACTTCACTACAGGATACAGTAGTGGCATAGAGATCAGCAACTGCAGCTTGTCAGGGGATGCAGGCATCCAGCACTCCCGGGTGTTTTGAATGTGAAGATTCTTCAGGCAGGCGCAGCTTTTGAACAGATCGTAGAAATTGACAGTGGGACAGGCAAGAGTATAATGCTTGTAGCTTTGCAAAACATTTTTTTAACCAAGCAATAGTTCCATTTTGCAGGTCCATTTTAATATGACGTAAATGTTTTCCATGTTTTTTTCAGTATGTTTTGCACATCCCTTTTTGCAGCTTTCGTCTAAAAATCATAGGCACTTTAACTTTAGGTTTTATAGCATTTTTTCATACCGTCCCCAAAGGGTGTTGGTTTATTTGGGATACTCATGTATCAGGAAAAAGCTGCTTTTCGCATTTGTTTTCCTGTTGAATCTGCTAAGTAGAGTACTTTTTTTGTTTTGGCTCTCCAGGAATTTTTACCATGTATTTTTCTATTTAAATAGGTGCCTTTTCTTGCCAAGTTTAGCTCCTCACAATGCACCAAGCAGTAATGCAGTTACCACTGGTCTTATTGATGGAGCTGTTCTCAGCGGCATTGGAACAGGTAAGAAACTGTTTCTAGAAGTGTGTGAAAGTTTAAGCCTAATTTCAGCCAATTTGTTTTATTTTGGATTTAAGGATTAAATAGAAGCTCTATAAGGACTTTTTCTGTCTGAGCCCCATTATTGAGATTTCCCTCTCCTTCCTAGGTTACATTGTGTTAAAGGGGATAAAAGACTCTCTCACAGGCTACATTCACACCTACATAATGTAGTAGGTGCGTTTTGAGATTTCTGCGGCAGGAATCCCAAATATGCAGTTTAAAAGTGGCAACTGTCACCAAGCTAATCGGGTGACTGTGGCCGCATTTGAAAATAGCAGTCCGCTGGCACTCCACATGTAAGCGCATGTGATACAATTACATGTGGTTAGGCCTAAATCACGGTCTGTGGAGATTTGACTCCTAAGTTTTTAGTGTCACTTTAAATGCATTTTAAATTTATTGGCTCGTTCAAGTAGTTCAAGCAGTCAATTTGCTATGATTTACCAAATATTGCAAAACTATATAAACTGTTCTAAATAAATAAAATTAAATTTTTTTTTATTTATTAATTTTTAGGTGAAAGGCTTTTTCCTCCACCTTCTGGCTTAACCTATTCCACCTGGTTTTGCATTGAGCATTTCAGTACGCCACCAAATAATCACCCTGTTAGACTTCTTACTATTGTCAGACGAGCAAACTCCTCGGAGCATCACTACGTATGTCTAGCCATTGTCTTTTCAGCAAAAGATAAGTCCCTCATCGTGTCCACCAAGGAGGAACTTCTTCAGAACTATGGTAAATATCCATCTCTTTTCAAAGCTGTCTGGTTACTAAACATTTTTGTAACATGTCCCAGTGGGCTGCAAATAAAATATTTCTCAGACATGGGAAAGGACCAGTATTGAGTCATCTGTAAAGCTGGCCATACACCTATAGATTATCTGTAGATTTTCTATGGTCAGATGGAAAAAGTACAACAGATTCCTCCATCTACGCTAAACTGTGTGGCTGGAGGAATCTCCCACTGGGCCAAGCTTCAGTATCTTGCTGGTCGGCCCGGCTGGCACTTAAAATACCTGAACAATGCCTGCATCCAATCAGATTGTTTGGTTATTTTGAGAGCCAGCGGGGCCGACTAGCAAGATACTGAAGCTTGGACTGCTGTTTGTGTTTGGCCAGTTTAGAAAATGTCATAAATCCATTCATCTGTCCTTGAGAAGTTTTGTGCAGACAATAATTTATTTACTCTGAAAGCATAAAAGAGCACATATAGGACTTTCAGTTTAGTTTGCTATAGTGTTTGGTGGTCAAAACCTAGATGGTTGTAACCAATTAATCAGTAATCCTTGTCATTATGTCAGCAAAATGTGGCAAATGTACTGAAGATATAGCACTCTTAAGAACCTGAAACAATGTCATTCTATTTTTGCACCACAGTTACAATTTTGTTTTTACCTTGGACTCACAAGAGTTTTCATTGGCTATACTGGCAGCCTAAAGCTGGGGGTCAAGATTTCTTGAATGGTGAACATCCAGGGAAAAGGCTGGATGGAAATGTCACTGTTAGCACAAATGAAAA